TATGTACTTCATTATAAATGTATTAATTCTGTTGGCAAAATTCCATTCATGTAAATTCAACAGTAAAAAACCTAATTTTGTACTGTTTCTCCATGAAGTTGTGCATTATATTATTTGATTTCTGGCTCCAACAACAAAAAGGCGGTAAAAACTGTCAACATATGGTCCTCTTTCTCTTTTTAATAACATATAAGCATCCCCTGGCAAAGCTTTATTTCACTTTGTTTGTATATATATATATATATATACACATACACATACATATACACACATATACACACACACATACACATATACATACATATCTGTAAGTCACATCTGAATTGTAACCCCTTTTTTGCAATTAAGATGACTTATTTAAAAAAAAAACAACAAAGGCATATAGAACAGTCCCAACTATGGGATGAACTGCAACACATACTGAGACAGACTTACCTGATATACTTGTGAAGCCAATCCCTGCAGCCAGGTTTTTTTGGTCATGTAGTGTAAATAAATAAATATAATAAATGTGACGTTTCCAAGAGAAAGGCAAATATTGTTAAGAGGACCAGCTTTATTGATAGTTTAGTTGACCACCAGAGCTAGTAAAATCATTTTTAGATACAAGAACACTTTCTGGGAACAAAATCATGAAGGTTCTGCATACACAAGTCTACTCTCATTCATCAAACAATAAATAAAGGTGTGAATATCAGCACAACAAAAATTAAATACTGAAGCTGACACAGAATTCTGCGGATGAACAATGCAACAGCAAACCCAAGCACATGTCATATACCTGATGGATAGGAATTCAGATTAACTGGGTTACTGAGCTTTTAGCAATTTGTATCATGAAACAGGAAAGTAGTACAATATATGAAGTATGCTGCACAACATGATGATACAGTATGTGAACTCCTTCCAAACAAGCTACTATTATCTGCATCTGACGTCCAACTGAAGGGCTAACTAAATACAACAAGAAGGGAAAGGGCAAATGTGGACAGTTACAGGGATTGGACAATTACAGGGATTAATAGCAAGGCTCATATCCATCCTTGTCCTTTTTTAAAAAAATAGAACTATATATCCTGAAGGTCTACCAGAATTAGACTACCATTCCCATAACCCATTGCACAGTCATCATGGTAATCTGTCAAACCCATCTCATCTGCAAAAAATCACTAGCTGTTCACCAGATAATTGACATTATGGGAGGAGGTTCTCACTGCTTCCTTACAATCAAAGCACATACACACTGTACAGACAGACAGACTAGTGAAAGTCAGCAGGTCATGGCAATAGTCGTGTTTCCATGCATATGTATCTGAAATGTGAATGCCTGTTTCCATCCACTACTGTAATCATTAGGAGTTGGTTCATAGAGATAAGCTGTAGGTGGCGCCAATTCTACAGTCAGAAAACCAGAGGAAGAGGGCGCAACAAGATCATTTAACTAAGAGTGCCAGTGGAAGCTCAAACTGTGGGGAGAAAAACTAAAAACAGGATGGAAACATGACATTCGTGTTAGTTTCATGTGTTAATGTGAGGAAGGTTCTATCAGACCTGTGCAGAGATCATGGATGTATTATAGAGCCACTGAAGTTAAATGTTTGCTATGTCAGAAGTAGTGTTCCCTTCTTGTTTTAAGAGCATTAACTCTTTCAAAAAAAAAAAAAGGAAGGAACCACCTCAAGCGAGCACAAAAACATTCTTGGTATTTTACCGTTTCCATCAAACCTTTCTAATGCGATACTATATCAAATATGCTGAAGGAAACACAGCTACTGTCTACTGTGAGGACAACCAAACTACCACTGGAGTCATCATCACCCCTCTAAACAAGCTTCAGTCTTCCTGGACAATCCTAACATTGCAGGTTATTGACTGGGAATATTTTTTGGACGTATGAAAGCCACAGTTAGCTGGCTTTTTCAAAGGTCATTTACACAGCAGTTAGAAAGAAAAACTAAAAGAGACCAAAATAGGGCAGACCAGACTCACAATTTTTTTTTTTAAATTTTACCACAACAACCCAGCTCTCCCTGCACTTCCTGTCCCTTTCTCAACCATCAAATAAAGGCAAACATTAAATTCCTATAGACTGTAGATTAAATTATATTCTCACTGCAAAGGAACCATATGAGCTTGAGTGATTGTACGCTATATTGTGATCAACTCTTAAAATGCTGTGGTGTTGCACTTTTCTGAATGTAAATGTTTGCTTTCAAAGAACAATTACTTGATTTAACCCTGATGATGTCACAGTGATGTCATCAGGGTTATTTTCTCAGACTGGACAAAGCTCCTCCAGGGTCACAGAATACATTATACAACCATTTGTTGTTTGTTCTAAAGAGCTTCATTTGTAAAATATGTGGATTTGAAGTGAGCAGTGAACAGATCCCCAGAGACAGTTATGAGCCACATGTGACCAGTCTGACAAAGACCACAATGCAAACCCAAAATTATACTTTCCACTGAAATCAAAAGGATTAGCAGATGAAGCTTCACACAGCCTAACTGAGCAATGTCCTGCTTAAGCTAAGTTAGTCTAATTTCTTTTTCTTCATGAGTCTTGTTTCCACAGCACTGCACCTCCTGTAAAGAGCTGAAATGAGTTTCACAGTCCTTTGTACTGTGTGTTTGTGTGTGTGTGTGTGTGTGAATCCACGTGGTGACCTATATGTGCATGCATGTGTCTATGTCCTTTAGGAGGTCCAGCGCCACCAGGCCACCTTCATGCGGTCCCAGACGGCATTGAAAGAGTCGAAGGCGGGCCGTACATCCAGGATGGAGAACTGGTAGGTGTCCTTGTTGATTTCACCGTCATAATAGTCGATGACGTAGCGCACCTCCTTCCCGCACCGGTCAACGATCCAGTCATGGCGGTCGAAAGGCAGCTCGTAGCTAATGAGGAGAAGCATAAGAGAAATTAACTGACTGCAATAAGATATGGGAGGCTGGTATGTGGCGCTTTAAAAGCACCATTGGGCAATTCTGTGGACTTGTGAAAAAAATGGACTGGTGCATCTTCTTAGCACAAAAACATGACTCACACTGTCTCAGTTAAGGACTAAAACACAGGCAGATAAAGTGTGAAGGAGCTCACCCCATCCAGTAGCGGAAGCGAGCCCTGGGTGAGAACTCTTTGGCTTTACCACCAAACCTCTTCAAGGTGGGCCCACATGGACATTCTCTACAAGAAAACACAAGATGGAGTACTCGTCAAATCACCATTAATATTGGCAGATCATGTCAGTGAACAAAGTCTCAGAAGGCACATGGAAAGCTGTAGTTCTACGCTGAGTGAACTCACCTTGCATGCATGGCCTCCCATTTCAGGATCTCCTGCCAGGCCTGCTCGTTATTCTTATTGTGGATTTTAATGATGTTGGTCATATCTTGAGCAGCGAGGTCATCCTCACTCCAGCGCCACCTGCAGCACAAACAAGGCCGACCGTTCAACCAGATATAGACTCCCAAAGAACCAGTTTATTTACTGCTATAGCCAATCTACACAAGTGGGACACTGCAATCATTAAAGTTCATGTTATGTGCAGACTAAGCATTAGCAATAAAGCCAATTTAAGATTCTGATTGAATTTATTTTTTTATCTCATGTGTTTCTGTTGTTTTCCCACCTGTACTGAAAACATACCAAACCATATTTTATACTGTATATGTGGTGACCATAAACTTAATGTTAAATAATACACAATACAACTACAGGTATATACATTTCATACAGCCTGTAGGCTGGCAGGCTAACACTACTGCTCTCCCCCACTACAGTTGAAGTTACTGGCAGGAATGAAAGATTATTAGGGGATGTTGCAAACCGGAAAACCCAAATATCAGTGCAACATTTCTGCACACACGTCTGTTGGTGAACAGTTGGGACTGACCCTTTCCGCAGCATGGCGTTCCAGAACATCTGCTCAGATGGGTAAACCCAGTTCTTTTCTGTGCTGTGACGGGGAATGGTGGACTCCTCTCTGGAGATGGACAGTTCGAAAGGCTGGTCTGGAGCTGGAAGTTGGTTTGGAGGAGGCATCTGTACACACGCACACAGGGAGTAAAGACGCTTCAACAACACAACCCATACGTAAGAATAAAATCTGACAGACACGCTTTTTAATTTAAAGATAGCAACATTTCAGAACAAGAAAGCAATCTAACGCTAAAAGTTCCATCTTGTTTGCTTGTTGTTTTGTTATCCTGTCTAAATGGTGCTTTATGTGAAAAGACAGTACTTTCCAGACTGCCTATTTATTTATGCTTTGCATTCATACTCTCACTCCCATCCCCATCCACGCAGCACCAACTCTGTGTTTTCCTACACTAAAGTGGCGTGTTACCATGTTTGATGGGTCGATGTCACTATTCGCCTCGGCTGCGGCTTTCATGGGACACTCCACAAACTCGTAGGCCCGGTCCTGGTGAGCCGGACCCGCTTCTGCTTTATGCATCGGACACTCTGACGGAGGAGACGCTGCAAAACAAGAGATCTTATTGAGGCATAACAGGTATAAAATCCTGCACAGTAATAGCCTATGACTTTCAATAATTAATAGTAATAAAAAATACAACATGAATAAACCTTGAAAAATGCAAAACAGTGGTAAATGGTAAATGGACCTGTACTTGTATAGCGCCTTTCTAGTCTTCCGACCACTCAAAGCGCTTTTACAGTACGT